CGTGTCCTTGGGCAAGACAATTCACGTGTCCTTGGGCAAGACAATTCACTCACCTTGACTACTGATGGTGGTCAGAGGGTCCGGTGGCGCCGATGCATGGCAGCCCCACCTCTGTCAGTGCGCCCCAGGGCAGCTGTGGCTACAGTGTAGTTTGCCATCATCAGTGTGTGAATGTGAGTGTGAATGGGTGAATGTCTGTTAGTGTAAAGCGCTTTGGGGTCCGGAGGGACTTGAAAAGCGCTCTATAAGTTCATCACCATTTGTGTCTAATTTCTTCTACAGCTGAAGCTCGCTGATTGTTTTCGGGAACAATTTGCATTTCTTTTATTCTTTTAAATCTTTTACAGGTAATTGTGTTTAAATGTAAAAACTGACACCAGAAACAGGAACTTTTATGTTAAAATAATTTGTCTTTTCTCTTCTAAGAGCTGTCGGACAAATTAGTCAAATGGGTATAATRCTGAAAGCTGTCAGATTAAACTGTTGTTTGATTTCATCATCTTGGTCTTTTATTGTTTTCGCTTCACTCTGAAGTCTCCCTGAATGGGTTTGCAGCTCTGCTCATTAAAAACAAAAGACAACTTGACTTCAGAGAGCCATTCTTTGTCCCACATGTGGAGCTCCCAGAGGTTCCAGCTACAATCAGCTTTTCTACCCGGAGGACGTTTCTGCAGCTGAATATTTAGTCAAACAGCTGGAGATGACAGACATGATGACAGAAACAAACTCATCTTTAAAGTCGAACTGAAGATAATGAGTCAGAGTCCACACAGAGATAATAACACCATCGTTCAGTCATCAACGTGGTGCTGATTAATAACAAAGGTCTTTAACAAGCAGCAGATCAGATAACTGATGTGATCTGTTCAAGTAGTCAAAACTCTGAAACTACAAGAAACAGTTTTAAATGTTGGAGGTTTCAGTTTAAACTTAGTGTTGTCTGTATTTGTTTCATTATTATAAACCCAGAGCTCACTGAGGCCACCCAGTCTGCTCTGATTGGTCAGATCCAGTGGTCTGGTCAGGCTCCGCCCACTTTGCTAGTTTTCCTCTTTTATTGGACATGAGATCAGAAACCTACAATTAAAAACTTTAAAATTAATCCTAATTTTTCCTTGTTGGGCCAGATTGAGAATTTAGGAATTTTTAAACCTCATCTGGACCACAGGAACCACACCTGGTCCATAGGAACCACACCTGGACCAGGAACCACACCTGGTCCATAGGAACCACACCTGGACC